CTTCGCCTTCAGCCATGATTGTGAGGTCTTCCTAACCATGTGGAACTGTGAATCCATTAAAAGTCTTTTTCTTTATAAATTTCACAGTATGAGGTGGGCGGGGTGGCTGTAATCCCAGCCCTTTGGGAGGCGGAGATGGGCGATCATGAGGTCAAAAGATTGAGATCATTCTGGCCAAAATGGTGAAACCCCGTCTCAACTAAAAATACAAAAATTAGCCAGGCGTGGTGGCGCGCACTTGTAGTCTCAGCTACTCGGGAGGCTGAGGCAGGAGAATTGTTTGAACCTGGGAGGTGGAGGTTGTAGTGAGCTGAGATCCTACCACTGCACTCCAGCCTTGTGACAGAGTGAGACACCATCTCAAAAAAAAAAATTAACCCAGTCTTGCATATGTCTTTATTAGAAGCACGAGAACAGACTAATACACCATATATATACATCTCCATATAATTTGTCTATTATGGTTTCTGTTTATGGTGTGTCATCTTCTCTAGTAGAGCACATGAAGGCAGGGACTTTTGTCTGTTTATGTATCCCCAGGACGAAAAATAAAAAGTGCTTGCCACATAGTGGATAATAAATATGTATTGAATGAATGAACTTAGCAAAAGCAGCTACTTTTTGGGATTCCTACTGGTAAAATGGCAGATTCTCAGTCCTAGTGGTTGTTTTATTGACTTACTGAGGATGGCACAATCATCAGTTTGTATGTAAAGAAAGTAAGTACATGAGTTGTGTTGTATATGATTTTCTACAACCTCCTTGCTTGTTTGGCAATAAATAGGGAACTTGATTCAGATGAAGAGTCATGAGATTATGCAGATATTATCGATGGAACTGTTTTTTTTGTTTTGTTTTGTTTTATCTTTTTTTTGAGACAGTCTTGCTCTGTAGCCCAAGCTGGAGTGCAGTGGGGCAGTTTCAACTCACTGCAGCCTCTGCCCTGCGGGTCCCAGTTCAAGCAATTCTCCTGCCTCAGCCTTCAGAGTAGCTGGGATTACAAGCACACACCACCATGCCCAGCTAATTTTTGTATTTTTAGTAGAGATGGGGTTTCACCATGTTGGCCAGGCTGGTCTTGAACTCCTAATCTCGTGATCTGCCCACTCACCCTCACAAAGTGCTGGGATTATAGGCAGGAGCCGCCATACCCAGCCAGAACCAATCTTTAGATATTAAAATCTAGAGTACTAAATGATAAAAATGCATACAGAGATTCTCAGATACAGACTTGGACATGTAGCTGGTTTGTAACATAAGTGATTTAAAATGTTTTCATTGTCAACATTGTGGCTGAAAAAGTTAAGTTTCAGAGTATCAGGGTACTGAGATGATAGAGGATGGATGAGGAAGGAAGTGAAGTCATCAAGATCTCCCATCTTGGGAGATTTGGATGGTGCTTCAGCCGAGTCATCTAGATGTGAGAATACATTTCTACTAATCTAAGCCTTTTAAGAAATGCCAAAACATGAGACAAAGCAATCTATTTAAGGAAGATAAAGTTTAAAATTTTCTAAAGTTTTCGATAGCTAAGCTGATGGTAGTCTTCTATTGTGTTCTAGGATGTAAGGTAGTTGATAAACAGTCATTTTTATTATCTTAAGATACATTTGACTTTTAGAATTCAATGACAATAAAGATGATAGATAATGTCTTAGGAAGATGTTAAGAAACCTAGAAAATACCCTAGAAATCAGGTATGCTAACTTTATCAGCCTAAGTCCAAAGCTTAAATGACACCACTCAGTGTTCTATCACACAGCTAGTTAATGGCAGAATTGCAATGAATTTTGTCACAAATTTTCATTGACGTATCAATAGGAGAGGAATGTACAAGCCTTTCTTTGGAGATAACCAGGGAGCAATTATGAACTTGAGATCTGCATTTTACCTTAAAAATTTCAAAAGTCATGCAGTTATTTCATCCTGTACAAAGTATTTATGTCTTTCTGTTTTTATGTGTATAAGCATGTGCATTATTATAGTCTTGCAAAAATGTGCTTAGTTGAGGAATTGTCTTTTGGAAGTTGAGAAAATGCACAGAATGAGAGATCACTATAGGTTATTGTCTTAGAAGAAGTGTTAAATCAAAGTTTTAAAAAAACTAAAATGAAGAAATATATCTACTTGATCTGTTCTAAAATTAAATTAGAGGAAATTAATGAGAATGCAGTGAAAATAACTTAGAAAATATTTTAAATCTTGAGAAGAAAGAATTGTTGTTTATGCCATTTCAGCATTTTTTGTAAGGGCAGTAAGACGTCATGTTTTGTATCTTTTTGCTAGATGTACTGGTTTTGACAGCAGTTTTTGAAAAGAGAGATGATTTGTATACATAGTTTATATATGCTTTTTTTCCTGAGGATAAAGTTATACTGGTATGGAGAAAGACAGCAAACCTCACTGTACCCTTCCCCCTTCACTAGGAATATAATAAAGGTTTTTTATTTCTTAATCTTTTATGTAAATTGTGGTTTTGCAGCACATGGTTGAATGAGATATTTATCATGCAACTGAGTTGTGACTCAATTTCATTATGCTCCAAAATGTAGTTTTCACAATTGATTAGAAAGCAGGTGTACCATTAGGAGCCTTGGGCTGGCAGTCAGGAGGTTTTGACTTAGTTTTATTGGTAAAATTAGGGTATTGTAGTGGTAAAGTGGTATTGGAGTCTCTTTTGGCTCTGCATGCTTATGGTTTGTATTTGTTCATGATATGCTTAGTGCTTCCTTACAGATACTTTCCAAAACTCACATGTACAAATAGTATGTGTGTATCTCACATTTAAATGGCTCCACATGTAACAACAGTTCTCTTGAGATGACTGAGGACCAGGGCCCTTCACTGTAGCCTGTTCAGTGGGTTTTCCTGTGACTACCAGAGAAGTCATTATGTAAGAACTTACTGTGCAGTCACTGGTGGCCTGTGAAGGGCCTTTTTCTACTATGCATGGTGAACTGTATGGGCCTTTTAGCATTTTTTGAGAAAAAAGCCTCTTGAGACATGAGGATTTTTAAATGGCCCTGGAACCTTTAGGAATGGACATTTGCTACCCCTGAGCAGTTTGCCCTGTGGGGTCCTTACATCACCATTGGAAGCCGCTGCCTGAATTTATAGTGTCTTGCTTTAGAAGGTTTTCCAGTGCTTTAAGGATTTAAGATTTAATTGGGTAATAGTGTATGGACAGTTGTTTTACTGTGCTAGTATCATGTACTAGTGGTCTTTTCTCACTGAAGGCATACTGTTGTGTGTGATATTTTCAGTTAAATGTTTCACACTAGCTAGTTTAGAAGCTTTAGGTGGATATGCAGACATACCCTACAGAAATACTGGATTCATACTCCATTCTGGCAGAGTCACATATTTAGAAGTTCAAATGTGGTCTCTGTTGGCAGCCTGTCTTGGCAAATGGTGGGTGCCATGTGGGTGGGGAAGAGATGCCGCTGTGGTCAAGGTAATGGGCTGGAGCTGGCATGTGTGTTGTTGTCACTGGAGCTTTGTACTTGAGAGATGAGTTTGCTGATTTTTTAGAAATCAGCTCCACAGTCAGAGATAGTTTTAATATCCTTGAATTATTTTGTGATTTAGCTGCTACTGTTTTTCTCGTCCTTGGATTTGAAGTTTTAAAAAGCTGGGCAGTTTGATCAAGTATGGTTTAGACAGAATAAGCCAAAGGTTCCGTGTGAAAGACTTACTTTGAGGCTAGAGAAAGCCTTTATTCCTCTCTCATTCTTCTAAGGTATGGCAGTGTTAAAGCAGATGGAAGGCTGGGGTTTGAGCTGAAGTTGTGTGAAAGCTTCACTAGCCAATTGGCTGACTCTAATGTTAAGACAGGAAGAACCACCCACGTTTTCCATTTTGGATTTGAGTCACAGAAAACAGGTTTCCTGCAGAAAACATTTGGCTTTAACAAATTTATGAAAATTTCATCTTTGATCAAATTGATATTTTTATCTGCATTGTACATGGATCTCAAATTAATTATTTCCCCTTTTCATTCTTTGCATGCATTTCAAATTAATTATTTCCCCCTTTCCAGTCTTTACGTGAAATTTTCAATTTGAATCTTCTGTAGTATTGACTGTAGTCTAATTTCCAAGATTTTTATGAAATGTAGACTCAAAGGACTATACTTTCAGGTAAAGATCACGTTTCACTTTATCTTAATAATTCACAGATACTTTTGCAGGAGTCTGGAGTTTCTCAGACTTCTGTAGTAGAAGTGTAGGTGAATTTTTTGAAAGGTGGCAAATTGAATTCCTCATACAGATTACCATCTGTTTGGTATTAGCTGAGGTGTCAGTGGGCTTGGTTACTTAAAACAATTAGAGAAGCAATATATAATAGCAAATAACTCTCTCTCGCTCATTTAAAGTGGCTTATAAAACTGCATTTAAGTTTTTTTTGGAAAGGTATCATCCTTTCTTCTAATGCCTTCTAATAATCACCTCCATCCCATGATTGATTGATCAGTCTGTCATCAGTCAATCTGTTTTCTGTTTGCTTAAAGCTAAAGACATGGATGGTTTTAAGAATAACTTCTCTACCTCTGTGGCATACCAAAGTACTATAATAGTTCTGGGTATGAGAAGATTGTAGAAAAAGATCTGTACTTGGAATAATTTGGAATTTACAGAGCTTGTATTTAGAAATGAGTTTTCCCCAAGAAGAAAGGGAACTGTGCCAAACAAAGACAGAAACAACTTATTCACCCTCCCCTCCCATCCAGAAAACCACAATGCATAGAAAAAATTGTGCTGAGTTGAGATTGTCATAGTGTTTCTGGGTACAAGTGAAAACGTATTTCAGAGAAGTAACACATTGGGTTTTTAAAGAACGACCTAATTTGCCTAATAGATCATGAGGTACTGAGTCACTTGTAAATTAGTTTTTGAGCCTCTTTAGGATAGATAGTTTTCAAGCTTAAAATGGGTGAAGGTCAATTTTAAATTATTACCATCGTGTGAAGAGGGACATTGGCAACTGAGTAAATAATCCACAAATCACTGATAAGAAATGTGTTGTAGGATGACTCCTGTAGCAGATTTAATTTCCTAACTATATTACTAGTTAACAGAAATTAGTTTGTAGAACTTTAATGCACCAGCAAAGTGTCAGCCTAGAAACTGGCTTGGGATTTATAACAAGATACAGATGATGTGTGGACCTGTTTTCTTTCCTGTCCCAGGGTCAGCCTTAATCAGATGCTGTAGTTACTACTTCACTAGTTTCCCCCGGTCCACTCTTCTTTCCTGTTTCCCCTGCTGGAACACGTCAGGGCTTCCTCCTTATCTATAGCAGTGGTTCCTAAACTCTTTTGGTCTTCAGAAACCAAATTATTGAGGACTCAGGAGAGTTTTTGTTTATGTCTGTTACATTCATGACTATTTACCGTATTAGAAATTCAAATGGAGAAAAAGGTAAAACCTAAGGATACATAAGCACTCATTCCTTAGCTGCAGAGTGATGGCATTGTCACAGTCATGTGGCTTTTCGCAAACACTGTACTCTTACAAGAGTGAAAAAGGCAAATTATATTATTTTTGAAAGTTAGATTTATCTATCAAGGTTTAATTTACATTCAGGGAAATCTACTCTTTTTAGTGTAAACACATATGGTTTTGAATACAATGCATATATGAAACATTTCTGTCTTTCCCAAATGTTCCCCTTTCCAACCCCTGCACCCACTGACCTATTTTCTCTCCCAACCTATAGTCTGGCTGTTTCATGACTGTCATGTAAGTGGAATCATACAGTATGTAGTCTTTTGAATCTGGCTGCTTTCATTTAACATAAGGCATTTGAGATTCAGTCGTGTTGTGTGTCTCACTAATTTGTTGTTGGTTTTTTTTTAATTGCTGAGTCCTGTTCCAGTATATGAATAAATCACAGTTTGGGCACTTACCAGTTAAAGGACATTTAGGTTGTTTCTAGTTTTTGGTGGTTATGTGTCTTCGTTTTATTATTAAAATAATTCTGACCTTGTAGACCCCTCAGGGTCCTGAAACTTCTTGCTGAGAACCTCTGCCCTACAGCACATCATCTGCATGTCTCACTCTGTAGCCCAGACTGGAGTGCAGTGATGAGGTCTCAGCTCATTGCAACCTCTGCCTCCTGGGCTCAAGGGATTCTCGTGCCTCGGCCTCCCCAATAGCTGGGACTACAGGCACATGCCACCACACCCAGCTAATTTTTGTATTTTTAGTAGAGGAGGGATTTCACCCATATTGGCCAGGCTGGTCTCAAACTCCTGGCTTCAAGTGATCCACCTGCCTCAGCTTCCCAAAGTGCTAGGATTACAGGCATGAGCCACCATGCCTGGCCAATTTTTTTTTTCTTTAAGGCAAGGTCTGACTGTTGCCCAGGCTGGAGTGCAGTAGCGTGATCACAGCTCATTGCAGTCTTGACCTTTCGGTCTCAAGCCATCCTCCTATCTCAGCCTCCTGAGTAGCTGGGACCACAGACACATCACCATGCCTGGCTAATTCTTTATTTTTTTGTAGAAACAGGATCTCACAATGTTACCCAGGCTAGTCTCGAACTCCTTGGCTCAAGCGATCCTTCTGCCTCAGCCTCCCAAAGTGCCCCAGCTCGTCCCATTACAGGCATGAGCCACTCTGCTGAGCCTGGAATATCTTGAATTACTTGCCTGCGTATGCTCTGCCCCACTGTCGATAATGCTAGGATTTAACTCAAGCGTCTCCTCTGGGCAGCCTTTTTGAAACCCTGTTTTTGCTGTTGCGTGTAGGCCCTTTGAGACCCTGAGGTTATTGGTCATGACTGCCTTTGTGTCATCTGTGTGCCTTTTCTCATTGCTCAGTAGTTGTTGATGACGTGGTAGTTTCTCAGCTTCTCTCTATCTCAGTGGAGTACACAAGTTTAGCACACGTGAATGACTAATAATTCCTTTGCATTTTAAGGCATTATGTTGTTTACATATTATTGCATTCATCCTTCATTTCAGATATGTGAAGTATGTAGCACAAGTGGTTTTTAACATCTTTTATTTTTATTTGTCGCCCAGGCTGGAGTGCAGTGACCAGATCTTGGCTCACCGCCACCTCCACCTCCCTGGCTCAAGCCATCCTCCCACCTTAGCCTCCAGAATAGCTGGGACTCCAGTTGTGTGCCAGCATGCCTGGTTAATTTTTGTTACAGAAGAGGTTTTGCCATATCACCCAGGCTGGCCTCAAACTCCTCCTGGGCTCAAGTGATCCTCCTGCCTCTGGCTTCCAAAGTGCTGGAATTAACAGGCATGAGCCACTGTGCCTGGCTAAGGCTACTAAGTCTTAAAACTGGTTCTTAACCAAGCTGCACATTAGAATAACCTGGGGAGCTTTCAGTAGAAGTTCTGATAGCTCAGACCAATTAAGTCTTAACCTCTAAAGATCAGGCCTGGGTGTTAGTATTTTTTAAAAGTGTCACTGTTGAATCTGTCATGCAGCTACAGACAATTACTGTTACATAGTTTGACTTACCATGATGTCTTAGTGGTGGTGTAGTCAAGACAAGAATCCAGGTCTTTTGACTCCTGTTCTACTGCCTTTTCCTCTGCTCTTGTGACCTTTCGCAGGAACCATAAGCAATGCAGAGAGAGAAAGAAAGCCTTGGTGTAGATGCCAGTGTTTTCAGTTTTTGGAGGTGCTGTAACATAAACACGAGAACACTGAATTTAGGGGACTATGTTTCTGTTTTGGCTCTGCATTTATTAACTTTGGATTAATAACTACTTGAGTCTGTTTTCACTTTAAAAGTAAGGATACTACTATAATTTCTACAGCTCATTGTGGGGATCAAGTTAAGTAGTATGTTAAAGGATTTTTGTAAGTTATAAAGTGAACTTCTTTTTACTCAGTTTTAACCTAGTGCATTTATTGGCTTACTTTCCTTGGGATCTATAAGTGACACAAGAAATATATAAATATGGTCTCACTGAAATAGTCAAATAACACAGAATTATGCAGAGTAATGCCCAGAGGTCACTGTTAGTTGCATGCTTTGAATCCTTTGGTATGCATTTAAGTGCATAAATATGTATGTTTGTGGCATCAATTTTTTTGTTTGTCTTAACATAAATAATACTGTGTGTGTGCCTTTTTTTCTTAATTTAACATGTCTTAGATCATTCCATGTAAGGATATATAAACCTCTCATTTTTTTGATAGCTGTATACATTTTTTATATATTTCCATTGGATGGATGTTTAGCCTGTTTCTAATTTTTTACTTTCATAAAAAAGCTGATGAATGCTTGTTGCTTTTTTTTTTTGAGACAGAGTTTCACTCTTGTCCCTCGGGCTGCAGTGTAATGGTGTCATCTTGGCGTACTGCAACCTCTGCCTCCTAGGTTCAAGCGAGTCTCTTGCTTCAGCCTTCTGTGTAGCTGGGATTACAGGTGCCCACCACCACGCCTGGCTAATTTTTATTTTCAGTGGAGATGGGGTTTCACCATGTTGGCCAGGCTCGTCTCAAACTCCTGACCTCATGTGATCCACCTACCCTCACCTCCCAAAGTGCTCGGATTACACACGTGAGCCAGCATGCCCAGCCTTGCCTTTTTTTTTTCTTTTTTTTCCAAATTAAAACATTAGTTAATTCTTGTTAAAAGATTTATCTATTTCCAAGGTATTGGGGATTAAGTAGTAAGTGTCTTCTGTGTGAAATCTTAGACCTTGTTTACTCAAGTCAAAATAGAACTTCAACTTTTTTTTGGTTGTTGTTGGAAAGTATGTTAGACCTTTTCTGGGAGAGCTTTTCTATGTTTTTTTGTACATTTTGTTTGTTTTATTTTTGTGGTACTCTCATTTCACTATAAGGATAGACTTTTAAAGACAGGCGTGTGCATTGCTTAAGTGTGACTCCTTTAGCATGACTGCTGTGTAATTGCCCTTCAATGATAACACCAACACAACAGTAAGGGCCAGTACTTATTTATGGTGGCTACTAAGAGCATGCAGTATCTCATTTCATCTTCACAGTAACCCAGTGAAATTGGTGGTCTTATTCAGGTGAAGTGTTTAGAAATAGAGAATCAGAGAGGCCAACTTGCTTGCCCCAAGGTCACTTATGAATCCAGGATTCAGAGGTCTTGCTTCCTTACTGTGATGTTCAACAGTCTCCCAGGATTTTGCCAAAATCAGAAATGGTACCTTGTATCTATGACATCACAGTTTAGTTTCTATGTTATTTATATTTGTACATCTTGTTTTTAAATAGTAGTAATAATTTAACATAAGCAGAAATAGTCCATGCTCTGCAGTATCTCCTCTATAGAAAGTACGTATAGTAAAAGCGATATGCATTAATACTATAATATAAAGGCAATGGATTAATAAGAATGATATTTTGGAGTGAAAAGGGCCACTAAATGCGAGAAGTTGATCTTTAATTCTATTTGTTAAATAACAGGATGACCTTGATAAATAATGCTGTTTTCTCACTGGTGACATAGTATTAGACTAAGTAGTTCACTTCATATTTAATCAGCCATTATTCTGATTACTTTTAGTGTGAATAACAAATACATGTTAGAACATTTGGTGGTGGTAATCAAAATGAATTTCGAAATGGAATTGTAGTAATGCTTGCCTTACCTTGAGTAATAATAAGGAGAATATTTTTGCAATGGATTATTTATGAATGATGAAAGATTAAAATGGTCTGTCTTTATTGATGAAAGTAACAGAAAGCAGCTTCAAAGTTTGTTTTTATTTTTTAGAGACTGAGTCTTGCTTTGTCACCCAGGCTGGAGTGCAGTGGTGTGATCTCAGCTCACTGTATCCTCTACCTCCCGGGCCCAAATGATCCTCCCACCTCAGCCTTCTGAGTAGCTGGGACTACAGGCATGTATCACCATGCCTGGTTAATTTTCTTTCTTCTTGGTAGAGACAGGGTTTCACCGTGTTGTCCAGGCTGGTCTTTAACCCCTCAGCTCAAGTGATCTGCCTACCTCTGCCTCCCAAAGTGCTGGTATTAGAGGCCTGCAACACGGCGCCTGGCCAGAGTTTTTTAAGCATATTAAAATATCTGTTATTATTTTATTATAGGCATAATTGAGTGTTTTAAGGCGCTGTGGGTGGTTATTTCTCAATAATATTCACTATAATTGGAGTTTAAGCAAAGGTGTAGTTTCACATATATTCTTTTTATACTCTTGTGTCACATTTCACTTGAGTGGTAAAATAAAACAGTTCTAAGTGGCATAGTCTGGAGGCCAGGTGAAGGTGTCAGCCTCTTAACCCTTACTTGATCTTAATGCATCTTAAGTTTAACATACGATTGCTGAATGGTTGAAACAAATCTGTTGATGGACTCTGAGACTTATTGGCTGAACCCTTTATTTTTATTAAGAGGTTAGAAAATACGACAAACCACAGTTCAGGTATTAGAATACTGTCTTGTCCATGGTTTTAGTCTTTTAAATGACATATTTTTGGTTAGTACATACTGGGGGATTGCCTGACAGAAGAGAATGAGTATGCTAGCTCACCTTCCTGTGTGGACTTGTACACTAAGAAATTAGTCTGCTTCCAGGAAGCAACTGAGTGGTAGTGACTTTTAGTTGCTATCAGTATGCATAGATTCAAATAAAACCTTGAGCATTCTGCTCTAAACAATACTTGTAAACAGAATTCTCAGTTTCTTCTTTTTCTCCTATATCCAGATTATTTACTTGGTTAGATTGAGAAACAACATTGTACCTTACTGCTGTCTACAAGGAGCTGTTTTTTGAGGTGAAATTCCTCTTAGAGGAATTTACTTCTTTTTCCAAAATTTACAATTCACTATTTCTGTCTGTGTTCTACATTTAAATTTTTAGTATGTAGAATTTAAATATTCATGTACATTCTGTCCTAGTGACTAAGGAGCATTATGTAAGGAATTTTTCTTCCTCTTTCAGTATATTGACATTACATTCCTTGGCCTAGTATTCATTTTGCATTTGTATTTCAGTGTAAACCTAACAAGTTCATTCAGGCAGTAGTTGAACAGAGGCTAAGTGGTATTATGGTTGTTTGGCAGGTTATAGCCATAAAAACTTATTTTTAAA